AATAATAATAATAATAATAATAATAATAATAATAAAATAATAATAATAATAATAATAATAATAATAATAATAATAATAATAATAATAATAATAATAATAATAATAATAATAATAATAATAATAATAATAATAATAATAATAATAATAATAATAATAATAATAATAATAATAATAATAATAATAATAATAATAATAATAATAATAATAATAATAATAAAATTATTATTATTACTGTTGTTGCTGCTTTCAAATCTATCAAATGTATCCATAAATCAATTCTTTAAAGCTTTTTATAGAAAAATAATTCATTGAGAAACAATAAATTGTAATTTAGACAACCTTGATTGGACTGAAATACTTGATTTGTTTGAAGTAAAATCGAAATTTTCCCTAATTTCAGCTCTTTTTCCATTTCTTCTCATTCTGTCAAATTCTTTCTCATCATTACGAACAAATTACAATAAAGTCGTTCTTGTCCTTCTAATCCAACCCATTCTCATCTTGCGTCTAATGATAGTCATTATCCCCGATCCAATTTATTTCTTTTTTTTTTCAAATCATCGGTTCTCATTGGTAACTTTTTATCTGTCCTCTGCTTGACGAACATTCCAATTGTCGTTAGCTTTCCTTTTTTTTGTTTCTCTCTCTTCCCTTGTAAAATAAAGCAAAAGTTTCTGTTACTTTTTAATTTCCTTCCACTACAACATTGTGACATATTATGGTGCAGGAAATTATGAAAAAATAATTTTCGTGGGAATTTAACACTTTTTTGCATTTTAGATATGAAATCCCATAATGAAAATAGGAAATTTATATCGAAACTTATTAAATTTTTGCATTCCTTGTTATAATTTTTATCCATTTCTTTATATTATTATTATTATCATTATTATTATTACTATTATTATTATTATTATTACTGTTACTGTTAATTATAACATTGTTCTCTATCAAAACAAAATTAATCAATCTCACTCATCTCCAGAAATGATCAAGAGTGGATCAGAACAAACAAACCAATGACGGTTGGTTCTAAATCGATCATAACCGCACGTGGAACATGTCTACCTGATCCGGTTTCCGAAAAAAAATGTTGTAAACGAATCATCACCGCTACCAATGCTTTTATCCGATGGCATTTGTCCATCAGGCTAATTAACAAAATTATTTCATTCTCTGCGACACTTTTGAAATTTAATCTCATAATTTGATATTTTAAATTGCTACATAGAGGAAACAAGAAGATTTAAACAACCATTTTGCGCTGTTCAAGTTCAAATTAAAGCTGTCATAAATAAACGACGGATTGTCGCGCGAAAAAAACCTTCCCAACCTGAATGCCATGTTCTAAGCAATACAATTCCCAACAGGCATTGCCAATTTGAACGCCAGCTTGGCCAATATGTATTGAAATTACTTCACGCTAAAAATGAAAATATTTTTAAATTTCCAAAGATACATAAAAATTTTTGTTATTTATTAGCCTAAATTAATTCAGTTTCTTCTTTCGATTATTTCCTATCGTAATAACAATTATTTCAGTTGAATACAGTAGAATGAGACATAATATATACACATGAAGTTTCCATGGTAACAAAAAATAAAATATTTAGTAGAACTAATCAATAAATCTTCAACATAATTTAGCAGTTATCTATCATAGAAAAGATATTTCAACCGTTTCTTTCTTTTTCTTCCTCTCTGTCTCTCTCTCTCTCCCCCTCTCTCTTTCTCTTCTATTATAATATTCAACAAATTTTTTAAAATTATTTCTTTCATTTTTTTTTAATGATTACTATAATCGATAATTAATTAGTTATTTCTCAAATCAAATATGAAATTAAACTGAAGGCGACATTGAATCTAATCAACTTGAATCAATACTAGTATAAATATATAAATGATAATGTATAGAGAGAGAGAGAGAGATAAAGAGAAAAAGGACGATACATATGACCAAACTAGACTAGGATGAATTAGGCTGGACTAGACTAGACTAGACTAGGCCAGGCCAGAAACAGAAAGCAAACCAACCATTTGTGTTATCGAATGCTGCAACTACTGCACCAGTGGATTTGCTATTAGAGGAAAGGCCTCAAATGATGTGATGTGATATACCACCAAATATTTAGTCAACTCCCACTTTCCTACCCATCTACTCCCTCAATAAGAAAAGAGAATCAAATTTCCACCTCCCCCACTTCTGATGATATATATGCACGATAAGGATATATATATATGTATATACCAGAACCTATCGACAAACACACACCACGTACGCACACGCGCGCCCACACACGCCTCCTACTAATAGACAAATTTGCATACATCTCTAACAAATAAATAAAATAAGCAAAGAAATAAAAAACAAATAAATAAATGTATATATAAAATACATATTTATTTGCTTTCTTATTTACTAATCAATATTTACATATTTGCATTTTGTTTACTTGTTTGTTCATTTGTTTCTTTGTTTACTTATTTGCATCTTTTATATAATTTTGGCTGATTAACAGAAAGTTACCATGAAATTTAAAGATAAAAGAGATGAAAGAATTTTCCCATTCTTTCCATCACTTATTTCTCTTCCTTGCATCAGTCAACCAGAAGTAAACCATTTTGGTGATGAAAGAGAAGTGTTGTGAGATTATTGAGGAATACTTAAAATTCGTTTATTTATCCAGACATACACACATGCACACATACACACACACACACACACACACACACACACACACACACATACACACACATGCACATATACATAACTCATATAGGAAATAAGTTAATCAACCAATGGTCTTCTATATATATTGATAAACACTGAATCAATACTTGGCAACAAAAATTCGGAAATATTGATATCTTTTTTCTCTTTCCTTTCTTGTCTGTTTGTCACTTTCCCAATTCCGTTTCCGTTTCCGTCTCCGTTCAATTTTTTTTTTATCCTTTCCTTTATCACGCTTTTTATATTCATGTATTTTAATCTCTCCTTCTTTCATGCCTTTTCCATCCCTATCCTTTAAGAAATTCCAAAAACTACATTCAATTGATACGTTGAAATTTCAAAAAAATGTGATGAATCATACAAATTTTGTAATACAAAGAAAGAAAAAAGTTGCGTTATTATTAGTAATTAAATGGAAGTAATTAAACAGTAAAGAGCAAGTTTATACGAATTCGAGTTATTATTGGACAAAATACATTTTTTAGTCGAGAAATTTTCTAACAAAAAAAAACAATATAAGCTATGACAGACAAGCAATGAGTAAACAACAACAACAACAACAACAACAACAACAACAAACAAGCAAACAAACAAACAACAATGTAAATAAACGATGACAACAATGAAGTGAACAATAAATGTTTAGCAAATTGCTTGGAATGGGAAAGTGCTTCTTTCAAAGAGAATATTATTTGCAAGAAATGAAAAAAAAACTGGAATTACTCATAAACCTGTAAAGATCTTTATTTTCTAATTAATTTGTGATATTGAATTAGCAAACAATTCAATTTTGATTATGAAAATTCTTGATATTAAGTTCTTTTTAATGATTACACAGATAATCAATAATGTTGGTATGATGCTCTCGTTTTGAAATCAGGCTATTGCTTTTACGCTGATCGACATTTGACCTTTCCTTTCATAAAATATCCATCGATATCACAGATATCAATACGAAATATTGATAGATGAATTCGAAATATAGAAATTACTCTTTATCACATCAATTAATATCTTTAACATTCAAAAACTTTCAATAATTATGATAACCTTTGTTAAGCCAATTATGATAACTTCATTAATTGCTGATATTTTAGTGGAATACGATATTCATCAGTAGTTGTGATCGTTGAAATGAAATGCTGAAGTTATCAATACTTGATATTTGAAATCTTTGTCCTGAAAATTTTAACAAAATGATGGATACTGTGAATATCCAGTCATTATTTAGGATGAAATTATTTTTCAAAAATATGAATTAAATTACAATTCGCTAATTTATTTTGCTTAATCGAAATATATTTCATGCAATTTGTTACATGTGAAATGCAAGTTATATAATCTTCTTACAAGATAATTAATTGATCTGCACTGAGCTCTCAGTTCTGCTTATTCTGCAATTGATTTTAAACCCTCAAATTGATCCTTATCGATCTCTCAATTGAGTTTGATTTCTCAATTTGATTGATCTCGATCTTTAAACCTTTGTAACGATGAAAAGAAAGGTACAGTAGTTTTTTGTTTTGTTTCAAAAAATGACTTTACTCATTTTTGCCCAATACGAAATCAGATTTAGTTAAGAGTTTCTCTCTTTGTCCATCGAGAGTTTTCCTCAGATTTTGAGAGTTCTCTTCAGATTTACTTCGTTCAAATATCGGAGATTCGAAATACCTTCTAAAGGTTTCCAAACAAATGGATGCGATGTTTTCGATCGAAATTCGCTGAAAATGAATGGATAATTTCGCTCATTTCAAACTTCCAACTGATTTTACCTATTTCTGAATACAAATGTCATTTACTTCTCTCCCAACGCCATATTACTTCTCTACAAATTTATTCTATTCCTTTCCTAAAGATGTATTGAATGCGACTTTTTGCAAACGACCCCAAATTATTCTAATTTCAAATTTACATATTGTTATTTTTTAATTTATTAAATTCAATTTAAACAGTTAAAAAGCTTTTCGATAGTTGCTTTTCTATTAACATTTGCTAAGTGTATGATAAGATAAATGAATAAAATTAAAAAATCAATTTCTTAAAATCCTTTATAAAATTTCAATAATTTAACTTTCACTCAAAAAAAGTCAGACATCATAGATTGAGAAGCGTTTAAAAGACAGAAAACTATCAATTATCACCAAAATTTGTTTGAATAAAACGAAAAAAAATCCTTTCTTCAATTTTCTTTTTTTTGGTAAATATAAAATGAAAGTAATTTAATTCAAAGGCCTTTTTAAGGCTTTCATTTTGGAAGTTAGTTCAAGAAAAAAAAAGTAGACGAGAAAAAGAAGGGATGAAAAGAGAGAGAAAGAGAGAGAGAGAGAGGAAAGAGAGAGAGAGAGAGAGATGAACAAAATTCTTCATCACTTATCTTTTTTCCTTACATTTGAAATCTAATACAGTAAGTACTGCAAACGAAACACACTTGAAACTTTGTTTTTTTTTTTCAGTTAGTCTTTTCTATTCTTTCCCTTTCTGTCTTTTTCTTTCGCCATCCCTCCATTTAGTTATTATTATTCCTTCTTCTTTCTTTTTCTTCTATTGGTCATTTTTCTTCTCTTTCTCCCTCTCTTTCCTCTTCTTCCATCATCCCTTCATTCATTCATTATTTTTCGTTTTTCTTTTTTTTTTAAAGAAACAAAAAGTGCATTTATGCGCCATAAAATAGATGTCAGAGGAAGGAAAAGGAATGAAAAGAGAGAGGGATTGATCACACTTGTCCCATATTTCTTAAATTGTTAAATCATTTTTCTCTCTCTCCTCCTCTTTCCCCCTCTTTTCTTCCTTCTCACCCTTCTCTTCTTCCTCCTCCTCCTCCTCCTTTTATCCCTTTTCATCCTTCTCATCCTTCTCTTCCTCCCGCTCCTCCTCTTTCCCCTTCTCATCCTTCTCTCCTCTTCCTCCCCTTCTCCTTCTCCTTTTCCTCCTTCTCATCCTTCTCCTCCTTCCTTGTCTTCCTATCTTCTGTTTCTTGTTTTGATCTTTTCCTGCTTTGTCGGCCCAATTTGATATTTCATAACTTTCAAGTAATTGGCCAAGTTTTGCCAACAAATGACTGTATATACATATTGGAAATGTATTTGACAAAAAGAATTAAATTAATTGAATACAATTTAGTCCCTATTCATTGTTGACGGAACTTACTCAGCTTTTGGCCCAAACATGAACAATATTTCTTCTCTCTTCAATTAATCATATTTACTTAATGTCAACCACTTTGATCAAATTTAATATCGCTTTTCAAGAAGTTTTCTTCATCCTAAAATTATAAACCAATCTGAGAAATGGAAAGGAAGGAAGGAATTTTGGCAAATTTTATATCAATCGTTCATTCATCTTTTCTCATCTATTTGTTTAAAACAAATATTTCGGAATAATTTACACGGAAACTGGCTTTTAGTTTCTTCTTTTTACACAACATTTCAAATTTTTTTGTTTTTCGATAGTGATTTTGCATGTTCCTTGTAAGAGTTCAGTTAATTGCATTTACCTTTCTAGAATTTTTGAAATTTATTTTCGAAAACAATGGACAGATGATATTAAACTAGAGTTAAATTTATAGTAATGATCACTTCTTGTTATAAAATTTTAAAAGCTATTAAAATGAAAAAAAATATGTACAACGAGAAAAAAGATTTATCCATTTTTCTCTCTCTCTCTCTCTCTCTCTCTGTTTCTCTTACAAAGCTAGAAGATTTGGAAAAGAGTGGGAAGAATTGAAAAAGTAAAGAAAACAAACAATAATGGGACGGGAAAAGGAATTTGAGTCATTTAACAGTCTTTCATCGACCATTAAAATTCTTTTTATTCAGGTATTTCGAAGTATATTCGAATAAATGAATGCATTTTAATTCGATGTGCTTTGATAATTTTGAAAGTTTTAATTTGGAAATTTCAAATTTCAGTTCATACGAAATTCAGAAAACTTCATAATTAAAATTTCCAACTCCTAAAAATAATCCAAATAGTATACTTCCTATTTTCTTGATTGAATATTTACAGTATATTTGAAAGTTTCGGAAATTATCTTTTCCTAGTAGACCAATTAAATTTTTGTTGAAACTCAAAGTCAAAGAATAATGCCAGAACTTAGTTAATAAAAATCCATCACATTTATATACTATCCCATTTATTTTTTTCCATTCATTTCAGATGGATCGCATCTGTTCGTAAACAAATTAATCCTAACTTCGACAAAGGCATAACTTTCCGGATACACCTTCTGTAGCGTTATTTTTACTGATGATATCAGGAAACTTCATATTTTACGATGTAACATGACCGATTTGCGGAAAAATTTTCCTATTAAATGTATTTTCTGAACGATCAAATAAAGTTATAACAAGTAACCGGTTTGTTTATAACCAATTTCGAAATATTTATTTCAGATACAAAAAGATACTTGAACTGGCAGAATAATGATATGGATCGACAACTTCAGTTTTCTTTCCAGGAGAAATAATCGAGAAGTATAAAAATATTTTCAATTCCAAACCGCAGAAATGAACAGTTATTTAAAATATTACATAAGTTATATACCGTCTAACTTTTTTTCAAAGGATAATAAAATTGAGAAAAGGCATGAAATAATGTAAAAATCCATTATTGAGTAAAAAAAACTTTGCCTTTTTTCAACAGTTTCTGGCAGTTCTTATTGAAAGCTTCATGGCACAGATCGATTCAACAAATTATATTACATACTGTAATGTAGAATCGTGCTTATTTCTTCAAAAAGCTTGGTTCTTAAATACAAAAATACAATGATGAAATTTTTCTTCGAAAAGCTAACATATACCGAATCAGTGATGCAATTCAAAAATTGTAAATTGATTGCTTTTTTTTACATCTTTTATATACCTAAGTACCACTGACGAAATATATGTTTGAGAGTTAAAAACATCCTTCACGGTACATCCTCGAAACATCTTAACATCCTTGTTTTACCTTTTGCCTACTAATTTTTTTATCCTTGTTTCGAGTTTTCGGTGGTGCTATGCCGGTTCCCGATTCCTGGCGTCCATATTGATATTTATACGAGTCCGACCGAAGGCATTCCATTAAAGCAAGTGGACCTGCAACAAGTACTCATCAGTGTCGAAAATGGTCTCACTGAACAAACTTCTATAACTAAATTCTTATGTCCCAGTTACTTTTAATTTTTCTCCTCTTACAACCCTGACTTTCTTATTTTACTATTATTCTTTATTCTACATACAACCAACAAAATCTTATTATTTTACCAAATGATTTTAATTTACTTCAGTAATAGAGTTATTCAACTTAATATTGCCGTAGATATCGTCTTTATTCGACAGTACGTTGAAGTTGACTTCATAGAATATGCACACCTTTTGTTAATGGCTCTGCCAGTGATTGTACCCAAGGATTATTCTCAAGTCGCAGAACTCGCTTCGGGCCAACAAGATCCAATCCAGCAATTTCTGGTGGCAAAACGGTTAAACGGTTCCCCTTGAAAAGAAAAACATATTGTAGAATTTTACTACTTTCTTTACAAAACATCTAACTCCAACTAGACCGTGAAAATTCAATAGAATACCAGCGAGATAAAAATTTGGAAATGCCTACCGACCGTTATTTTTGCATGATAATACTGACAATGTCATTCATATAAAAATATCGATTCTGTGTTATAAATGTAAATACCTGAATATGAAGTTCTTTTAAGCGATAAAGTTTACCAACTTCTTTCGGTAAAGCAAGTAAATCATTTTCACGCAATACTAGAACTTGCAAACTTGAAAGATTTTCAATATCAGCAGGTAAATATTCAAAATCGTTATCACCCAGATACAGGGCACGAAGAGTTGCTGGAAATAAAAAATTACTGCAGAGAAGCAAAATAAATTTTAAAAAAGTCAAAAAGAGCAAAAAGACAAATTTCTTCCATCCAATTTTCAATCAAACTTTTAGTCAAAGCTTAGTTCAGTTATCCAACACTATAATCAATACTACTGCTATTTCAAAGATTAGTTTTGGATTAGAATTAACAATATCTTCCCATCATTCAAAAAATTAATTAATTAATTACAATACCAGTCATCAGCAAAACTAACTGACATTGACCAGCAAAAAAAAAATCGAGTTACATCAGTTAACCGCAACATTACTACAAGAAATTAATAGAAGTATTACCTAATTTAACAATAAAAGTGTAGGTATGGAATATTATTAAGAAAGACAGGAATGCTTTAAAGTGATGTGGTGGTATTTCAGAAATTAAGAAATCTTGCTCGAATGGAAAATCTGAACTCTAACGATTGGGATTAAAATCTAATGAAAAAAAAATGAAAAAGAAACAAAAAAAATAAAAAAATTTCAAATTACCCTAAAATTTCAATTACTACTATCATGCGCATAAGTATGAGGCACTTGAAATTATAAATAAAATGAATACAAAAATGAACTAACGCATAAAAAAGAAATTTCCCGGTAAACTGCGTTCATTCAAATTATTATAAGTTAGGTCCAGTATTTCCAATGCTTGGAATGATCCGAAACCTCTTGGCAATATATTCAGTCGATTCATCCTGAAAAAATTATTTTTCTTCATCAGTCATCTAACTAGCAAGCAAATTGATTAAACGGTCAAATGATGATATTAGTATAGTTCCTCTTTCGGAGATTTATAATTCCCCATTAATGGCATATTAGTTGGAATATTTATACAGTATTTTATGCTTACCTGGGAAAAAAGCATGGTGTAATTGATAATTCTACTTAATAAAAAGTGAAAAAAAACACAACCCCAAGTTGAGAATTCGTAATTTATTCAAAGATGATACTGATGTTGGTAAATCTTCGATCTGATTGTCCCACAAATTCAAACTCTAAAAAAATATCCCAACAATATATGGTAATATATATTCAATTACTTCTTGATAATAATCGAAACCTCTGAAAATTAAACAATATACCTCTAAATTGGCCAAGTCCGCGATATTGGGTGGGACGGATGAAATTTTGTTGTGACTCAAAATCAATTTCCTTAATGCCATATTGTTAACTGAAACAAAATAAAAATACTCATTTATCATGCCAGAACATGCAGACCATATTGAAATATATCAAAGGTTTCCATCCAATAATCCAGTAATTAACAGTCAATAAATTAACAGTAAGCTTAGGCTCAAAAGTTTTAAAAATCAGGACATACTTTATTCATGTTTCCAGAGTGAGTCAGATTTAATCAACTGACAGATCAAACAACACTTCTAATTTTTATCATTCACTATTATTACATATCACAAAATGAAATGCAACAGCTATCATACGCATGAATTCATGAATTTAATTACTTTGTTCTATAATTATATTTCTGTGGATAATCGAAAAGACACCAAGGACATACTGTGTAGTAACAATCACTTATGCAATTCGGTTCTTGAATTATATGTGTAATAATAATAGTAAATGAAAGAAATGATTAATAAAAGTAACAACGAATTAACTAAAAACTTTACATAAAAATGAAATGGTAAATAAAAATTTTAAAGAAAAAAAATAAACTAACATATGTGAGAAATTTCCTGGAAGGAATGTATTCCACGATCGATATGCTCTATTTCTGCACTTGCTTCATCTCGACTTCGATCTGCCTTACTTATTATTGGCATTTTATCGTACTTGAAATTTGGAAAAATATGTAAAACTGTGTGACAAAATGAACAATAAATTAAACATTTTCATCAGCTAATATATTAACATGGATAAAATAAATTATCATGATAAAAGTAAAAATATGCTGATTGCTACATTTAGTACCATCACAAAAGGATAATATTTGGTAATTCCCAATGATTTATTATTACAAATTTCAGCTTTCTAGACGAAAGAATGATTTGTTATTATAAGCCTATGGCTTTTTTCATTTTAGATAAACAAAATAATTGAAAACAGATACCACATTAGAATTTAACAAAATGCACTTTAAACGCTTTAAAAAAATTAATAAATTATATATTTTAGCACTAGAATAAAAATGATACAAGTTATGTGCAAATGATCAAATATCGATGTGTTAAAATAAAATGAATAAATAAAAATATTGCTAAAATACTACCAAATTGAAAATATCAACATATACATGAAGTTTTTTAAAATAAAAAAAAGGAAGGGAATAAGTAATACTGAAATCGTGATGTGTAAATGTAATAGGAACTAATTGGCATTATTACAACTAAGCAACAGCAGGAACTTGAGAAGCTAACACATTCGAACTATAAACACATAAGCAATTGTTGAAGGGAAGAGAAAAGAAAGAAGAAAAGAGAACAGAAGACAAGGGATATATTCATTGAGATTCATATTACAACAATTACAATAAAAGGCATTGATAGTATAGAAGTACCTGAGGTAACAGGTACTTCCACAATTTTTGAAATTGATACTTTTAATTACTGTGTAGAAAGTGCACTAAAAATAGCATATCATGGAGATTTAGAAAAAAAAAAGAAAAAAGAAATAGGAAGTAAAAGAGCAGCAAACTAAGGAGGACGAAAGAAAGAGGGCATATTTCATTTCCTTATATTTTATCTATACTCAAACTTTTACTTATATGCTTATATTTTAATGATAATATGTCGATAAATTATTGTTCACATTTCAGTTATAGTTAGTTGGTTTTTATTTGTAGTAAAATCTTTATACTTCTACTGTTGAAATCATTTTGGCTTATACTTGTCGTAAATTAATTTTTATTTAACCTATTATTAAGCATTACTAAACAAAAATCACGACTTATTAATCCATAATTTAACTCAATTCCTCTTAATCTCTAGCATTAACTCTATTTTATAGTCTTTCCAACTTTAACTTATTCTCTCACTCAACAAAATTCTTCGTAATCCTATCTTTTTCAAAAGTACAGTCATTTTATCGATCTTTGCTGCATTGTTCGAACGATATCTTTACTTTTGTTTTCACTCCATAACTATTGTTTTTTTGATTCTTATCAATCTCTAATTATCTCTGATATAATGCTATTTCTATACGAAATCACTTTTCATCATAACTCGTCTAACTAAATATTAGGTAGAACAAAATGAATCTCCTCATAAATTGCAGATTAGAAAGAAATTGTCCCAGTCTATTACCACCGACAAACGAAAGAGGTGTCAGGAAAATCTGTGTTCAAGATAAATGTGACGGTAAACGTAACGATCGTCAGTTTCCACAGGTGTTGGTAGAGTGGTGTTCGAATAATTTAATTTGGTAAACATGCACATAATGGTGGCCATGTTTCAGGTGTGCAGAATCTAATCTAAGATTTTGTATGTCTCATACAACCCAACTTTCTGAAATACTTATCCCAGCTGTAACATATTTCTTAATAACAATATATTTTTAACGTGATTCAAGAAATTCGTTCACATATGCGAATTTGCTTAGAATTTAACATAAATCAATTTGCACTAGTAAAATCGAAACTGCTACTTAGAATTTCATTATTCGCTTATGACATATTTGTTTATGTAAATATGGCGAAGTATTCCTTTATTTCTTCGGTTTAGTGAAGATGTCAGTTTATGATCCTACAAGTTCCGCAAGCGTGGATCATCGAAGGAAATGGGATCGGGAGGAGTACGAACGAAAAGCACACGAACGATTATTAGCAGAAAAAGACGAAGAAATAAAAGGGAAACGCAAGCTGCCACGATTTCCGGACGAACCGAAAGTGAAACGAGAACTACTGAAAGCTCGAGAATATAAGGTTAAGAATTTGGACATTTAACTTTCAGTTTGGATGTTTTCAAATCAAAAAATTCAATAGCGAGAGTTATTTCATCTACTTAGCTTACGTACAACCTGCTTACCTGCTTACTTGCTCCATTGATTTCTTGTATTGAATCAAGTTTTTGCTGCAGATTTTTTATTCTGACTTCTGCTTAGGTTGATTTGGAATCGAAAGTTGGTCGTACAGTTGTTATCAACAAAACAACACCATCAGCTGAAACTGGTGGATACTACTGTGATGTTTGTGATTGTGTCGTTAAAGATTCTATCAATTTTCTGGATCATATTAACGGGAAGAATCATCAGCGCAACATGGGCATGAGTATGAAGATAAAACGAAGCACATTGGATGAAGTACGACAGCGATTCGCTTTCAAAAAAGCTCAAAGTAAAGATGGCTTGCAGAAGCTTAGATTATATTTTATTTTTTGAAAATTTTGTAAAATTTTAAAAGACGAAGCCAATACTACTAATCAGTATACAACGTTCGTCAAGATTAAATACTAAAGAGTCACTAGAATTAAAATTTTAAAATTTCAGGAGAAATGCAGAAAAAAGAAGATGATATGCAGGGCAGACTGGAGGATTTGAAAGAGGAAGAGGTGTGTAATTTCCATTCATATTTGTTCGGGAATGTCATTTTATGATTTATGGAGATGTTCTCGGAATATGTAAGAGTGAATATTTATAGTTTCACAACTTTAAGGCACGTATGGCTGATTATAAGAAATCTAAACGCTTGGAACAGAAGAAACGGAAATATCCTGAAGTCCAAATTGATGAAGAAATTGCTGCAGCTATGGGATTTGGTGGATTTGGTACCACTAAAAAGTAGTGGAGTTGGAATTTTTCGGTTTTTTTTTTTTTTTGTTTTCAATGTACATAAATTGAATTGCTCTTCCTATGTCTTATTCGGTAGTTCCTTCCATTTTCAAGTGAACTGACGAATTTGTCTTTCTTTTTTGGAAAGAACTGAATTGACTTTTACTACTATTATTTTGGAGGATGTATACGTGTAAAGCTAGTGAAGATTTAAATTGTGTTACGAAAAAATGTGACCTTCTGGAATCGTCTCGTCAAATTTCAGTTTATTGACGTTAAAGTTTCTCCGTATCATTTAGACTTTTGTTGTACTGCATATTTTTTTATTTTTTGGTAAAATGAATAAACTAGTTAAAATCATGCCGCTCTGCTTGCGTTTCACTTGTTGCTGTTCCTTCGGCTTCATTAAATTGGGAATATTTTGTGGTTTGTTGTTTCGGCAGACATTTCTGAGCTGATGCCTTTTTATAACCGAGAATTTAGCTCCAGTTTGAAACTGAGCTAATGGAGTGGTGTAATTCTTGCAGAATCTGTCGATGTGGAATGCAGCATATGTCAAATTTGTTCAGGTTTTGCAACATTTCAAAGATAGAGCAGTGGTCATCTTTTACGTTTTTTTTAGGACGGGTGGATCATTTTATGCATGTTCATAAATATCGGTGTGTCAACTATGCAATCGATAGTATTTCTTGCGGTTCTGGGAATGACTTATAGCCAAAAGGGAGTGTATTTGGATGAAAAAGTCAGGAACTTGCAGGTTAGTTCATCTTACAATGTACCGTTTTTTTTCCTTGGGGGTGAGGGGTAAAATATTCAGGAAGCCGAGAAATCCTGATTCATCCGCTTGCAGGAATGGATGTACAGAAGGCCACTGATCACTTTGAATACAGACCGGTGGAAGACGTACGTACGAAGTGCCCCGCGAAATTACTCTATGGTTGTGATGTTTACGGCGCTTTCTCCAAATGTTGATTGTGCAGTATGCAAGTGAGGTTTTCGTCATTTAATTGGTGTCCAGCATTCTATTTATTCTTTTAGAAGAATACTCCGAAATGTTGTCGGATGCTTTTATTCCACATTTTCAACATTACTTGCCGTTGTCAAGAACCTTTGTACCGTTCCAGATCTGCATATGATGAATTTTATATACTGGCCAACTCGTATCGTTATGCATATCCGGAACTGAAAGCTCTTTACTTTGCAATCATTGATTATGGTGAATCTCCAGAAATCTTCCAGCAAATGAATCTTGATGTTGTTCCAGTACTTTTTCATTTCCCATCAAAGGGTACCAAAAAAAAACTGACCAAATGGATTTTGAATGGCAAGGTTTTGATGCTGATAGCATGGCAAAATTTGTCTTTGAACGAACAGATATACAAGTTTGTTTTCATTTTGCGTTCATATAGACATTTTTTTATTGGTTATGATGAATTGCATGCTCGAGAAATAGGTTTCTTTCTGATCCTACTCAATATCCAATATGTTTCTTCTGTTTCCGAATTTAAATTAGTTCTGGAAAAATAATCGGAAAGTTTTTCTGAAGTGTTGTGTCTCTTGGTGAAATTTTTGCTAATATTAACGGCTAAAAGAGGAAGGAGAGTCGCAGTATGATTGGACATGTTTTGCTAAAGGATACGATATTATTGTATTTAAAGCAGTTAGTTCAAGGTTTTGTAACTCATTTCCCAATTTTTTAGATTCGCGTTCTTCGTCCACCAAACTATGCAGCACCAGCGGTTGTTTTGTTATTGGCAATGCTTGTATTAGGATTATTATATATGCGCAGAAATAATCTCGACTTCTTGTACAATCGTACAAGTTGGGCATTAATTTGTCTCTGTGTCGTATTCGCGTTTATGAGCGGACAGATGTGGAATCATATTCATGGCCCTCCGTTTGTTATGACTAGTTCGCACACTCGTGAAATAAGTTTTATCCATGGTTCCACTCAGTATCAGGTATGCTTCTCTATATTTCTGGACTTATTATTCTGGAAAAATAATTGGGAAGTTATCTCTAATGCTACAATCTTTTGGTTAAATTTCTGCTGGTGCTGAAGGATAAAAAGGGAATGAGAGGAACAGGAGGGGATTGTCTCACAGGTAAAGTTGTAAATGGAAAGAGGAAGGGCAAAATAAAATTAGAAAGGAAGATTTATACAAAAATACTCATTCAAGATCTTTGTGTTCAGTTATCTACTTCTCGTTTTCTAATTTTCCTCACTGCTCAGCTTACAATTGTTACTAAATTAGTGTAAAACTACAGCTTGTGGCAGAAACATATTTGGTTGCGATATTATATGCTGCGATAACGGCTGGTTTCATTCTAATGAATGATGCGGCAGACGGTAAAGGTGATTTTGGACGACGGCGGAGTGAGTTATTAATTTAATCAATTTTTTTATTTAGTTTAATCGTTTGAAGTCTTGAATAAAAATTTATACTCATTTCAGTTTCATTAATTCACTTTCACTTTGTGTTAAAGTAAGGGCCCAATTTTCAGTTATGGCATTCGTTGGTCTGGGATTGGTGGTTGTATTCTTTAGCTTATTGCTTTCCATATTTCGAAGTAAATATCAGGGATATCCATATAGCTTTTTATTCCATTAATAAAAAAGGTACCTTATATATCGGCAGTTTATTTTTTGGGGTCATGATAAAAATAGCCGGTGAGTTGTCATATGAATAGAAGTGGATTGCAGCTGACTCATTAGCCTCACTACTACATTCTATAGGATTAACTCGGTTTTGTTATCTTTATTTGTTGCGCAGACCTAAATCTGTTGCTTCTTCCTTACCATTTTGTGTTGTTGTCTTTGTATGTTCTCACCAAGCAAAAATTATTACACTTGTACGTGTGAATAACAGAGATAAGACAATTTGAGTATCCAGAAAGTGATCACGTTCTTCTGTAAATAATAACTGCGTTATAACAATGAATTCTCCCCATACGAATGTTTGTTCCCTCATTTGGCCAATTTCCGAACCGAGTTGTTGAAATTGCTTTCTCACCGTTATTTTTGGGTTGATCTCGTCATTATTGCTACCGAGTTTTCTAAGCAGCTTTTCGTTGCGACATTGGTAGAACTGACCAGCTGACTATGCACTTCCACTCTTATCGATTCTGGTTTTGACTTATATCTTCAGCACAACAGTTTTCTATCATTTAGAACTCATAAAATCCTTATCATTACGTCGCGATTCGGAAGTTTACAGTAGTCCTTTCGGGAACTATGATGTTACGATGCAAATCTTTGCTATGAGACTATAAAAAGCAAAAATCCTTTATCCCTTTCCTGATTCTCACGATCTTTTCTGAAGGAATATGGAATAATTTGAGTGCTCATATCAACATATTTAGTAGGGTTCTTAAACACATGGTACGCAAAATATCGCGTCTGATAACAAGCACAAGGATAACACACATTTTTATTTCCTTAGTCCACAGAATATAGCAATAACAAAGATTTACACATGAATTGAAAAACCAATGCAATGTAGGAATCGAAGTTACGATTATTTAATTTTAAGAAGTGTTCCAAAACTCGAACTTGATTCGATTGGCACAGCTCCACTTTATTCATTTCTCTCAAATTTGATATCATTTCAAAGTAGAGAAGCTAGCTCCGACTATCTGTGCTATCGTCTATGGCATTGTCGTTATTTCGAAAGCGCTAAACACTAAATAAAAGGTCAAAAAACACTAAAAATTCACTATTCTAGAAGCCCGTATTTGAATAATCAGATGCTTTCCAGCAATGACAATAAAGAATTTTTCACTTTCAAGACTTCGTTTCTCCTTCCGGAAGGGCGTCTTCTAACATTCTCCTAATAGCTGTGTCACTGACAATATCCAAAGGACAGTTTCCTTCGAAGTCAGCTATTGCCGGATCAGCACCATTTTTGAGCAAAAAATCCGCTACAGATCGATGAGAACATGAAACGGCTGCAATGGTTTAATTAAATGGCAAGAACTGTAACTTAAAGAAACATAATTCAGAGCACTAACAACCTCTATCTTATAAGCTCGTAAAGGGCAATCATCCTGAGGGATCAAGATGTACAAGCGAAACTGTCGCTATCAAAGGGAAGTTAGCAAATATATCGCCCTCATTTCCGTAGCATATTCTGAAATCCCAACTCTCTTCTCAAGAGATTTGATTAACTAAAAGTAAACCGCTTCTTTTTTTATATAAAATAATAACCGTAATGCAGAGGAGTTTGTCCACCATAATCTTGAATATTGACATCAGCTCCTGCACTGACGAGAAACTCAACAAGTTCTAATTTCCCACGATCGGAAGCCCAGTGCAGTGCAGTTAACTGAAATAGTTATTCAAATCGACCTACGAGAATCGATTCACCTTAATGTCTAAATGAGAAATTTCACTTGGTAAACGTGCAAAATGGTATAACGGTACCGAAAAAATCAGTAACATATACGGAGGATTCACAATGATTACTTTGCAAGACTTGCCATGACAAAAAAACTATCCCGTCTATCCGAAATGAAACTAATTTAAAAGATGAAATCAGAGATTAAATGTAATCGATGACTTTGCTTTTAACAAAATGAGTGAATGCAGTTACCTGATTCTCATCTCTTTCCTCCAGAAGTCCTAGACTGCTAGCTAGAAGGTCTTTTAGCTTTTCAACATTGCCTTCATCTAAAGCAGCAAACCATTCGATCTGCTCCAAACTCATGCCAGATGATTCGGTCTGCAACAGTAAAAAAGTGTGACATTTTGTAACGAAAGTGAAATTTAGCTTGTTCTGAATTCACTTGCCGAAGCTGACAAGCGTGACCAACAGCACGCCTTCCATTAATAACAGGATGGAAAATTTCACTTGATTTAATGAGAAAAAAGACATAAACTGCAATTCGCTCGCACAACTTGAATCCTATACGAAGCGAAATAAAAACACAGCACGGTAATCACAAATAACTAACTGAAAATCACAAGTTTTGGACTAATGGATGAAACAAAACTAAAACTTCGAAAAAATTAAAAATTCGCTATGAGAACAAGTTGGAAAATTGAGTAAGAAATTAAAAAATAAAGATAAAAGAAACAGTGCGAACTAATAAATAGAAAACTGAAAAACCCATAATTTATTTTTATTTGAAATGATGAAAACCATATTGGAGTTAGAAAACAGCAAAGGAATGAAAATGCTAAATTAAGGAACAAAAGATTTGAAAATTTAATGGTCTGTCAAAAAGCTAACATGAATTCTAGCATTATCACCATGAGTAGATGATAAAAACAATCGTCCTTCACAGAAAAATATCTTCATTTATATGTTCGAATCTATGATAAATTTAAGTAAACTTACTTCGGTTGATTCAGCATCTGCCATTGTACTTGGTCTAACACCAAAACGAATACGATACGTTTGGTTTGCATCCCAGCCAATATTGAGTTCGACAAGCCTCGCAACATACTGTCTCATAGCTTCCGCCGCTGACATATTGTTCAGTGCTAACCAAGTATCGAATTTCTCACGACTAGTAATGTCGTATATTCTGGGCCTCCTACTGGGATCTGTTATAATTACATTAAAGTAAACATGCAATGAAATTTTATGTCTGGGTTCCATAATAATATATCATCAGTATAAATACTATATCATCTGCCGTAAATTCTTTTCATATCCCGTAAAATGTTGATGGCGTTCGAAATCCTAATGAATAATTGGTGAAGTTAAAGAATCAAAATCAAACGAATGGATAGTACAATCCCAAAAAAAGAAATATCGAGTTAGCCCTAGGATAGTCTAGTCTTGCATTTCATACACAAATAATTGACAAGGCTTAAAAATATTCTGAACGGTTCACAAGACTAATTCGAAACATGTCAGTGTTATCCAGGAAAGAAACTGACCAGCTTTTCCGTATGTAATAAGTTTATATCGAGCATAAAAATATAACTGGTCTTCACGTGAGATAAGACCTTCACTAAGTGCAATGGGTAAATAAGTGCAAGCAGAAGCGAATTCCGTTGCAAGTTTTTCGCTGATTTCTTCGTCCGGTTGTTGTTCTCTACCTTCACTGGTAGAACTGCCGGATGTCCACTTCAACAACTGATAAACAAACATTCTGCAATTACCTATCATGACAACCCTTTCAGATGGAACGCTCTCCGGACAACAAACGAAAAAAGTAACGTCAGCATATCAACTCCCAAAGTATCTACACAATTTAATCCCATCCCACACTTATTCTACGTAACATTTCTGGAAACAGAAAGCTACGAATAGCATCAAAACTAGTCATTCAATGCATCAATTCTCGAATTATATATACCCCTACGCCGGACACCCCAAACAAAATTTCTAAGATAACGTTAAAATGCCAATCACTAAGCCATCAGCTCGAAACTAGGCTAATGACAACTACTAACGGGAAGTAATATCAAAGAAATTGAATACTCGATAAATGAACGAGTTATTTCATGCACAAAAATATGGCAAGATTCTTCAAATAAAACATTACCAAACATAATTATAACTTGTAATAATTAAAAATTATATTTAAACAACAAAAAAAAAAAATAAATGTCTTCCAATAACAAAGATAATGATGCTTGTAGAAAGTTTACTGCATCTCATTAATCAATAAGTTTTGATTATATAAGATCTTTTCTTTAAACAATCAATTCTTGCATACATGAAGCTAATAAACTACACACAGAATATTGGCAAACTTGCATAGACTTTCAATTGAAAATGCCAATCTGATCATTTTCAGTTTCCACCATACCCTGAAAAAAAGACGATAAAATTGCCAATACAAATCATTCGGATAAAACCATGCTGCTCTAGATTTAACTTGAAATTATACCGAACTTACGTTTTTCACTTTTTGTTTTCATCCATTGCATTCCATTTTTCACGTGTATAAGTTTTGATTTCTAACGCATGTATTGCTTGCATTTCTTCTTTCAAAACGTCATAAACCAACCTAGAACTATTTAAAACCTATGTTACATTCAAGTAATAAGTCAAATATTTGATTAGGTTTAATGTCGAAGTTCTTTTTGACTTACAGATGAAAATCATAATTTACATGGCATCGCTACGTAAGCATTCGTTAACATTTTAGTGCGAGACGTATTTTCCATAACAATTCAGAAAGTAATTAATTTATACAACAATTTAGCTTCTGACCATAAAAAAAATTAACGATATCAAAAGTTTATAATCACCGATGCGATGCCAAAGTCGTTTTGCCGTCAAAGCTATCGGAAACAATAACCAGACGAAATTTCAATCCACATCCATCGCTGAAATCTTCGATATCCTGAAAAAGAGTTTATGAACCGACTTGTTGTAATCACCACTTCTCATTTATCTCACGGAATTAAAAAAAAGTGAATTACTGCAACAAATATTACCATTTTTCAATTAGCCTTTTGTTGAGAATCCTCAATTATCCTTAGTGCCACTTAAATACTAATACGGGAAAAAATTAAATATCAACATTAGCCTATTCAAGAATATTGTTAACATTTGAGAAATTTGATGAGAAATCTTGAGACATATCCATTATCCTACAATTAAAAACTTTTATTAATACATTTTCAAAACGTATTTATATCAACTAGAAGTACATTCCAAATTTAAATGCTATACTCTATGATTGAAATGTAAATTACACTAATTAGACGTAACCTACCAAATGAGATGGCTTTAATGCGACTTCCAATTTCTCTTGCATCGTTGCTTTCATGTTATCAGTCATTTGAATAACTGCAAAACAGATTGATTATAAACGTAAGGAAAAATTTTTTAATTGATGTTAACGTTGTCAAACTTTTCTTTTTCACTTGCACTCATTATGTTTTAATTTCTTTCAAAAACTATTCTTACCTTTTGCACCTACCAATTCTTTCATTTCATATAAGAACATCTGTAAATTTTAAACAAGCATCAAAAAATATTGCATACTATCGATTTGATACTTTTCGCATGCTCCAAATAGATCAATGGGACGGTTGGATGAAGTAAAATATTCGAATATTATGCTTATAATAAATTAAACAGATATCCTTTCACCTAAATAATTGGATTCTTGAAAGAGAATCACAAAACCAACCATTTGTTTATTTCTGTTAGACTGGTAATCGTATTTTCGCACTGTGAATTTCAAGTTATTATGGGTAGGACTAGACACATCTTTATTAGTCAAATTAAGAACTGTGACAATTAACGCCGAGAAATAAGTTTGTTTATTCTTTTCCTATGGCATAGGTATACTCGCTTTGGATTCCACGAACTTTTAGACGATGGAAGACATTTCCTTCATCCTACTGGTTGTAGTTGTCGAGTAATAGTAGTCAGTTAGTGGAAGATCATGAAAGGTCAGCTGATGTGATAGATACGACGGAACTTCATAGCCCACTTGTTGAAGCGTTGGTTGTCCTACGTATGATTGGATGTTATCGTGAAGGATTACGTCCTTCCTGTTGACATATACCGCCTATGGCAATTGTAGCTTCCAATGCATGTAGTCGATGCATTGATTATATCACTAGGGTATCGCTTTCTCCACATTCAAAAAACTGTAGTAGCCTTTGCTAGTGACCTTTTCCTGGTGAAGTTCAGTGCTTTGGAGCATCTTTTCCTTTCGGTCATTGAAATGGTCGTTATCGTTATCAGCTGCTCATAATTCTTTTGATAACATCTCGCAATCCGATCAAGGAATGGATCGCTGTTAATGTGTAGAATAAGAGAGGATGAAACCTCAAAATAACTATGTTCTGATTATTCGCCAGGTTATGAAACACCCAACTATTGAACTTTTTCATGCTTCTAGTTTGCTCCAAATATCGAAACACCGTAGGCTACTTGGTGTTAAATTCTTATTTACGTATAAAAGGATCAGCGTTTATGATTCCTCTCAGCTGGTCGCGTTAACTTTCCGATAACGGGTACTATATTCTTCATGTTCAACGCTGTTGTCTCCTTCGATGAATACTGCAAGTTGCATTAACTCCATTTCTGTGACAAATATAAACGAAGCAGCAAGCAATAGATCCCAAGAAAAAAAAAATCTAAAGCACGATCATTAAAGTAATACATAATATGGTGACATTTATTCCAATATGAAACGCAATTACTTCTGCACTAACTTTACAAGTAATCCATTAATTTAGAAACAATAAAAAAGGTATTTAAGCTAATAAGGATTACTTTCAAATCATTACTTGTCATCATCATCACCACTTCGTGTAACTGTAACATTCATCATTACTTGGAATGTACATCTTATCATCTTATCAAAAACATTAACAAATGTTTGAAAATTACAAATTGATAGTAATAAAAGCTCCAACATTCAAGTATTTAATGACATGATGAATTGAGATCAAAAAGAAAAGCCGCCGTTATGTTTCCAGATAAAACAAATGACGACAAAGTAAAATGACCAACGGCAAAAAAAAAAGTATGAAAATTAAACGAAACGAATGTGGTATATGAGAGAAGAAAAATGAAAGAAAAAAAGAGAATCAGAGAATCAAAAGGGAATCACTTTTATCGTCTCCAAATCAAACGATGTCCATCACGTTGTAATCATTAATCGATCATTACACCTAACCCATTTGAAAACTTGAAATTACATGTGTGAAATGAAAGGTCCGTTTAATTCTTTTTAGGGATGAAAAAAAAAATCCGGAAAAACGAAATTTCCCCCGAACTGTTTGAAATTCCGATTTTATTTTTCTTCGGATACGAATATATATAGGAATATGATGCAATTATGCATCCTTCTTTTGGAATAGAATTAACTGACAATTGTGATAATTTTGCTGTTATAAAAAAACCATCATTGATCTGCTTTTCTCTCAATATATAAATGCTGACAGCAATCAACTTACTGAATGTTCGACAATTTCAGATAAACGATTTCCCAGGAGTATTTGGAATGAACTAAACTTCCTTCCTTATTAAATCTTATCGCTACCAGCACTTCCAACAATTGCAAGCAACTTTAGCTTGAATCGGAAAAAGCTAGTTGTGTTAACTTCAATCCGGTCCGAAATAATCTGCTGAGATGTGAAGTTCCGTTACAGGTGATACAATTCAAAAATATCTCGAAGAACGAATATATGTACTGCAGCTCGATATTTGAAAAACTGAATCCTTCTTCAATATATGTATTAATGAAAATGATTAAGGAAAAAATAGAAATACACGAAACATATGAAAGAAAAAAAGAAAAACATTCGTCAGGGTTAAAAAACGATTTCCCATATCTCCACATACTAAAAAAAATTATTTCGGGATTGGAAAATGGTCGGAATGTTATGTTTCCACGTGACTCACGAGCCAATGATTTCGACACCTAATAAACTGTCTAGATTCTTGCCTGGAATTAGTGAAAGTAGTTCAGTTACTGATTCTTCCAAGATTACGAATAGGAGCTCAAACTTTCCAACTTCAAAATTTACCCATCAGAAAAAGAGAAGAAAAAATTCGCAATCCTGCATCCTTTTATAATTAAACATGAGTAACACTGCATACCATAAAACTGTAATGTGATTGCAACTGTATGACTTCGTAACCAATAATGAGAAATGTAAATAATTCAAGAAAGAGTAGGGCGGAAAACAAGAAAAATTAAAAAACGAAGAAAAAAAGGCAAAGAAGAGAACCGCTTTTCATAACTCAAAACCCTGAAAACTTGAATAGAGAAAGAAAATAACTGAAAGAAATGTTGAAAGGAAAAATTACTTTGAAATTTCATTCCTATCATTTCAAAAAAATAAAATGTCATGGAAGGATACGAAATTGCTAAAACAACAGAAGTCCTTTTACGACATTGCTAAGAACAACAGCTTTTAAGTCAAAGAGGAAGAGAAAAATACACTGAAATTAATGGAGCAATAAAAAGAGGAAGTCCAAAAATTACGAGCAAAATTTTCAGTAGTAATATGAGCAGCATTTCTCAGTAGATGATATTAATTGTAACAACGAAAAAATTGAATTTTAAAATTGAAACTAAAAATCAACCAAACTGAATCTTAGTAAACAAGACAAAAAGAAAACTAAGGAAGTTCCATTCCAAGATTTTCTAGCCATAATCTCATTATTTTCATCTTCATGAATTTCCAAAGAAAAATCTAAATTTATCTCGCCCGATGATGTTTATTTTGAATCCCCGCTAAATTTCAGACTTTCCAGAGCGGATGAACGACAGAGTCTTAAATTTAACAAAGTCTTCTACGTAACATCATGACAAAAAATCAAGAAAATAGGTTAACAGATATAGATTACATACAAAACTATAAAGATACTTTTCAAAAAATAAAAAAATACAAATACAGAAGTACTGCTGTCTATAGAAATACTGCTGCCTGCCATCAGAACAAGCAATGTACTTTTACAGACATAACAGATAGTAAATCCAGTAATCTCAAATAAACTATTTCTTCACTCCAAAGATACGTGCTTGACGTTTTCTTGTCTCTTCTTCTTCAATTTTTTTCAATCTTTCCAATTCTTCCGGGTCAGTAGTGCGTGGTTTTAAGTTTAAATGAGGCCTGCCAGGTGCTGAAATAAAACATACTATTTGAAACTCTTACGAATTGATGGAATAATATTAAGCTTGATGAAGACCTAGAAGAAAAAATATATTACAAATTAAACTAACCACTAGAATGTGCAGCAAGTTCGACATCCTGATTATAAACTCTACCGCGGCTAACGCTACCTCTATCTGACCTATCATATTCCGCACGGCCAAAATTATCATCCCTACTATCAGGTCGTTCTCCTGACCGGCTAGTCCCACCACCGCGTCTGCTATCACCTGTAATGGAATAGACAAAAGTTTCAAACCAATTCAAAAACTGTTTAATGATAAAATAAAAGAGACAATTACAAAAAGATTGTGTTGACGAAACCTCTGAAGGGTGGTCCACCACCACGTGAACTACTGCCACGTCCACCAAAACTGCCACGACCACCACCTCTCCGCTCTCTTCCACGTGGTGCATCTGCCACGTCAACACGTAGCACCCGCCCGTCGTATTCCTTTGAAGTATACGGTAAAGAATAAAAGATGATAGTGTAAATAATAAAAAACTGGCTTGATGAGGAATAATTTCAATAAACTATAGCTTATTTTTATCAATACATGTCTTGTTGCCACTGAATTGATTTAAAGTGTGAAAATTTTACTTAAATTCGACAAAAACAAGACAACAATACTACAGAACTATTATGCTTACAATTTTTTCCATTAAACTTACTACGCCGTTTAAAGTAAGAGCTCTTTCTAAATCCTCTCGAGTTCGAAATTCAATGTAAGCAAAACCCTTGAAACGATCATTCTCATAATCACGCATCATTTTTGCCTCAATAACCTGAAGATAGCTTGAACTAAGTAACAATTAAAACAAATGACCAAAAATTAAATATATTAACAGTTTAATATCATCTAATCCTCAGCCATCGTTTTCGATGCAAGTAACAAGAAACTGTATGCTGAGTACAATTATCCTACCTTTTTATTTATTCCACAGTAGTTTTTCTTTTTCTTTTTATTACAAAAAAAAGTGCACAGAAATGAAACATACTGCATAATCTGCAAAAAGCGAATCTAGGTCACCAGGAACCAAATCAAGCGGTAAATTCCCAACGTATGCTTTAAATGGTGCTTCGTCTGGTATAGGCCTATGCTGCCGCCTGTAACAGTTTTGCCGTTCCCTTTTTTTTCAATTTTAACCAACAAATAATTCATTCGGGTTCTAAAAATTAAAGTTCAAATTGTTAAGAAAAAAGGAAACACTTACCGCCCAGTCATCATTTGTATGTATGAGAAGAAATTCGACAACCTGAAAAGTTTTAACTAAAGTTACAACTCGAAAGTTGTTAGGAATAAGCTCAACAGAACGTCATACGATGATAAGCCAGAACCGAACTACACCTTGTTTTGATGAATTAGCAAACGCTGTCAACCAGTTAACGTCATAAGATCCTTAAGATGAATAGCTTCTAATGATAATCATTCAATTATATGAGCTAATCCATCTAACAGGATCATATGAGTAATAGAAGTTTAGGAAATCAATAGATTCTTTTAAGAAAGAGAACTGTCATTATCATCTGAAATTATTCCTTGAAATTAGGGTGTTAGAATCCATTAAATAGCCAATATCAACACAATCACTAAATAACTTTCAGCACTTCCGATAAATACCATTCATTACTTTTCTGTCTCAATAACTGTCACTGCTACGAGCTGGGGGAACGAAAAAGAAAGTACTGAAATAAGTAATGAGTTCACCCTTCTTTCTTCTTTTGCCTCTTATTCTCTCTTTAACATACCAGTATATTAATATACACCCCTGATATAGGGTATATCAACAATATACACCCTCAATCTCTGTTATCACTGCCATCCATGGTTATCGAATTTTTCAGTCAATATCACACTTCATCCTTTTCACTGGCATTCGTTGCTTGCATCATTATTCGCAACAAAGTTTCCTTTCTTTTTACTTCTTATTATTATTACTATCATTCTGCTATCATCTCACTAGCCATAAGAAAGATTTATTTCTTCAAATTCATACACTTTCTTGAACTGTAACGCTCTAAATATAAGCTTAAAAGTCGATTAATTTTCGACCTAAAAATCAAAAAATGTTCAGCATTTCACAACCTGTTTAACAACCAGTATATTAGGGTGCTTGCTTAAATAGTCCCGAATGAAACTGAAAAGTAGTATTTAGCGAATAAGTACCATTCACAGAAGCCCCTATACCACACAACCTACCAGAAAAACTTAGGTGAAAGAATGTATGCCCCTAACCGCTCATTCTATTATCCACTAAAGACATTCATTCTTCAGCCGTGAAATACCCATATTCCCGGTATAACTCACCACGTCCCGACAAAAACAAGGTTCGGCAGTTTTACTTAATCCTCGAGTGATGGTGTATAGGTGAGAATAGGGCCGGGTTGTAGATACCACACAGAAGGGCATCCTATTAAGGTGCTTAGTGAGTAACCTAATGGTGTGAAACTTAGCTTGACACTTAAAATGCATCCTAGTATGATATTTGTGGCCTTTGCCGAGATTTTTTGTGGCTTGAATATATTTTTATTGATAAAGTCTCAAAACCTTGTTGGCGGAGGAAGTGAGTTTCAAATCACGTGAATTCCCTGGTGAATTACCCGCCTTACGATTTTCTTAGGAATCACGACATGACGATGAATACACACAGCTTACCAATATCTCAAACGACGATACTAGTAAACCGCACTAACATGTCAAGTATTATATGCGTGATTCACAGGTACACCTTAATCACTTTGATATACGAAGCTTTACGTCTTTTCATTATAGATATATAGCTTTTGTAAGCTATCGGTACAACAGGAAGTAACGCAGACCATATCGTCAAAGTTATGGAAATCTTGCAGGTGAGCATGCTAACATTATATCGCTATTTTTCTTTTTATTTTATACTCCATTTTATTCACATATTTATAGCCACAATTACTACAATTACATATGCATACACATCAGTTTGATATCATAGATAGTAGAATTACGACGAGCAATGAATGCTATCCTGAACTATCTGTGGACATCTGATCGCGTATATTTGTTTCTAGACATTGTTTCTCCCTCATCCTGAACCTAGTCTTTTGATTCCTTTCCTGTGTCGGACATTTCTACTTTTCCTGCTGTAGCTGTTGTTCCTGCTGATTGTGACTGTATTTCTTCCTTTTCCATCTTTTTTGTCGTGCTGTTATCAATTTTCAACCCACTCATTTTATCAACATCATATTCGACGTAAGATGGGCAATTAGATGGAAAACTGAAATATGTACGTATATTACGTATATCAAAATCAAAATTCCGAAAGAAAATACAATGAAAGTGTTGGAGACCGTTCTATCAAGTTCCTTTGATGCCTCTATCAGTTCTTTTGGGTCTTAAACATCCTCCTTCTGAGATTTGCGGAATCTCCTTGTCTGTATTTCACATTTTTACATGTTCGTTCTTTCAGTACCACTGCTTTGAAATTCTTGGCCATTTTTGATCACCTGTCCAGTTTCATTCGGAATACTTTTTATTCGGCAGCCAATTCATCTTTCAAGTTAAAGTGAAATTGCTTACTTCCTTCGTTCATTGTCGAATTGTTTTACTGTTTCGATCAATGCACTGGATAAAGAAATTTTACCACGATTTATATATTGTTGTGACGTTCTACGAAGTCGTCGTTGTTCACTGTAATATCCATCACGTACGAAACTGAACATGAACGTTGTCAGTGTTGACCTAAAAATATTTATTGCTGCTGTATGAAGTTCATTTTACTACAAGGCTCTTCTTTTCTCCTGTTAAATCAGTTTCATCGTAGAACACAGCCGATATTTCCGATATTTTTTAATTTGCAGAGAGAAAAAGAGAAATATCGGATGTGTGTTGGACTTCTACAAATTGCCGAAAAATTACTAGAAAACAACCAAGCAGTTCACTATAATATACATCACATATGGAACTGAAACATTGTGAGGGAGAGGAGAGGTTTAGGAGAGAAAAGGGATGAATGATTACCAAGCAGGGATGGAAGGAGACAGAAGAACAATAGGAAAATGACAAAAGTATTGAATTCTTCATGTTAGACACAACAATTATTGTAAGTAATTAGCATGGAAAGGCATTATTAATTTTATTTCACATAAGGACCAGATAATATTTATTATTGAAAATGAAATCTCATAAGTTCAGTAAGCAGAGATGTGGAGAGTATGTGGACTCCGTGGCGCAACGGTAGCGCGTCTGACTCCAGATCAGAAGGTTGCGTGTTCGAATCACGTCGGGGTCAGTCGCAGTTTGCAACGCTTTTGTTCCCTTTATTATGATGAAATTGGAGTTTCAAACTTGAGCAAAATCACTCATATACTTACTAATTCGGAAAATTCCATCCAAAGAATAAGTAGAAAATCTATTCAAAATTGTATTGCATTACATAAGGCATTTCCTCCCAGTCCAAAAGTAAAGAATTACAAAATAATGGAAAATTTTTTTAAAAAAGACTAATGCTTGTTTTTTCCTTCTTATTTTCCCAAATTCACTTCTTTTTTTTTTAATTTCACTGATAATTTGGACTTGAAATTTGAAAGTTTGAAACTTCAAAAATTATTGTTTTAAAGTATATCGGGCATAAAGATTTTATGCGCTGTTTCATCCTTAATTATACAAAGTTCTTTGTTTTTCTTTCATAGATTAATTGATTATGAACGAAGTAATTCAATTCGGCAATTGATAATTCCATAACGAAAATGTCAGAAAATCAAAATTTATTGTAAAATTATATTTGAAAAAAGAAAATGCAAATGATTAGTATAATGCCAATTTTGTAATTAGCACTAAATAAGTCTCAAAACAAACCGGTCGGTCGATTCTATTTAATTTTTTAAATTTCATTCTAAATGAATATGTGATACCTTACCAAGCAAACAAAGCTTCAGATGCCGAATGTATCGCAGCATCTAACAAAACACATTCAGTCGTAACCGCATCTGCCGTAATAGCAAAGAAATCCGGCCGAAAGCCAAAGGAACGATATTGTACGTGTCGTGCACCAAAATCTTCTGAAATCCGTTGTACCGCTGCCCTATCCGTAAGCTGATTTACGACATTTTTTAGATAGTTGCGTAATGAACTTGCTAATTCACATCGTTGCTCCTGAAATATATGAATCAAGGAATTATAATTTGAATACAAGTATAAATGGTATGACTAATTAGTAGTACAAAATGGCTTAATTTAATCAAAATTAATAGGAATTTTCCAATTCAACCAATGTTCATATCTGTCAGCATTTTTTTTGCTTATTTACTTCAAAAATTATTTTCGAAAATGTTCTTCTTTGACCCTCACTCCCTGAATCACCTCAGGAAGTGCTTCAACAAATTTTCGGAAATCGTCTCGTTTTTCTGTAATTCGACGATATATTCTTTCTGCAATATCATCTTTCGCTTTGTCCATACACTCTTTCACAATTTGCCGTTGCGACAGACCAAGTGCCGAAACCTTCCTTCCCTGACTGCTTATACTTGGCCTATAAAAACCTATAAGATCTGTAATATGTTCCTAAATAAATTTCGATTCATTTTCCGAGTTTTTTTCTTTTTTTTTTTAAGGGGAACTCTACAACAGTATTTTAATCGAAGAATTCATTAACTTGAAAATGTTATTCATCATATTTGTAATAATAATATACTCAAGAAATTAAACCCATTTGAAAATAAAAATTCAATTAATGACATTGTTGTCGAATTTTGCATAAATGATAAGCATTAAATTTAAAATTTGACATTCTCTTTTGGCTCTCTAAAATTCGTTAGGTCCAAAACGTACGCTTGTTTAGCTTTTCATTTAGCATGCAAACAAAAGGAAATCTAATTTGAAATTAAAAAGCCACATTTAGGGTTAATTTTTACTTTTAGCAAACGAAATTGATGATATACAAAAAGAGAACTATATTATTATTAAACAATAAATTATCAATTGAAAGTCAATTGATTATAAAAATTTTTTCGAAAAAAGTTTTAAAAATAAATCACATTCGACATGAAATATTTAGTTAATAAAGTTTTGTTTTTTAAAAATCTAAAGATTTCTAATGAAGCCTACATACTGTTGCAAACTTAACAATTAATTATGAGATTTTATCAAACCTGGATTTATCATTATTTTATCCTGATAATAATGACAATAATAGTAACAATAATAATAACAGAAAAAGGAATAATAATAATTTGAGACAACAAGACAAATGATTAAATAGCTTACCTAGGATTTTTTAAAAGCATCGATTGACTAGTTCTCCTTGTAAGTTGTCGGGAGCTGGAAGCTTCATTATCGGATAAATCAATTCGTGGTTGCTTTTTTATGCTTGACCCAATCGATCCTTTATTCCCCATATCGATAAATTTATCAATAAATTTTGGTTCAAATATAAGTAATCAAATCTGAAATGTTCTTTATAAAATCAATATTTATATAATTATATGCAATACAAATTTGCTAATGAAGTGGTAATAGAATGAATGACGAATAATAAAAATTATCGTCCTTAAATTTTTGCTTTATTACTGAAAAGTTGATACTGTTTCAGGATATATTCCAGGATGTTTCTTTTTCCAACTTCTATTATTTTCATTATTATTATTATTATTGCTATTATTATTATTGCTATTATTATTATTGCTATTATTATTATTATTATTATTATTATTATTATTATTATTATTATTATTATTATTATTATTATTATTATTATTATTATTATTATTATTATTATTATTATTATTATTATTATTATTATTATTATTATTATTATTATTATTATTATTATTATTATTATTATTATTATTATTATTATTAT